AATGCCCATCCAGCCAACTCTTGCAAAACTTCTGGTGAAGGAGATTCCCTGGGCACCTTGTTCCCTTCCAATTAGAAAGTGTTTCCTGAGATTTCATCTAACTCTCTCACTGTAGTTTAAACTTATTGCCATGCATCCTGTTATCTGTGACAAGAAAGAACTTCAGGCTTTGTGGAAGTCTTTCAAATATTCAGAAAAGCACTATTGTGCTCCCGTCACCAAATAAAAATGTCTTTTCCACTAGACAAAAAACACATAGTTCCTTCAACCTTGCCCCATACAACTTGCTTTCCATTCTCTCTATGATTTGAATCACTTACCTCCAGACCCTTTCCATTTCCCCTCCCTTTGCTTTTCCTATGGTTGAAAAAAAAAAGGGCCTAAAAAGTTTCACCTGAGAAAAATATGCAGAATTTTTTTAGGAGAGAAAGTCTGGGCTCAACTTTTGCCGTGAGAAATAGCATATGCTGGCTTTTAAGCATGCGATGTTGTGTTCCAGGTTAAACTCTGTTGTTTAAATTCAAAGCTCCTCAGAGGCTGATATGATTTCTGGCATTGTGCATTCATGCATTATTCTACTGCCATAGAAATAAAGATCTGGTGCTTTGAAAAGTTCATATCCCTGTTTGCAATTAATTTATAATGGCTAATGGGTCATATAAGCACTTCTTACCTTCTCCTGAACACTACAGACTTTTTGAACAGAGAACTGAGAGAGACAAAGAAAGGGACCAGGATGAAGACAGAGAGGAGTGAGAAATACAGAGAGAAAAGAGGGCTGGCAGAGTCAAAGAGGCCTGATCTGAATTCCTTTTGTCATCAGTAGTGATCAAGCAGATTCACCCAGATTCACAGATGTTTAGGGCTGGAAGGGACCTCATGAGATCATAGGATCCAGCCCCCCTGATCTGGGCAGGAAAGACAGCTGGGGTCAAATAACCCCAGCAAGTTGTGCATGCAGTCTCCTTTGGAAGATCTCCAGGGTAGATGCCTGCTCCACCCCAGCTGGGAGTCTATGCCAGAGTCTGGTTACATGAACCATGAAGAAGTTTTACCTTATATACAGTCTGAAACTTTCTTCTCAGAGTTTATGACCGTTGCTCCTGGTTTTCCCCTGGACCACTTTGGTGAAAAATTGTTCACCAAGCCCCTGATGCTCTCCCCTGTTATATTTGTAAGCTGCCACCAAATCCCCCCCAAAGTCTTCTCTTCTCTAGGTTGAACAGTCCCATATCTGTCAGCCTTTCCTTGTGTGGCTTGCTCTTCAGGCTTTTAATCGTATGAATGGCTCTTGTCTGGACTCCCTCAAGCTTCTCCACATCCTTCTTGACGTGTGGTGCCCAGAACCGGATGCTGTACTCCACCTGCAGCCTCATCAATGCTGAATAGAGCGGAAAAATAACTTCCCACAGAGTGGCACAGCTGCCTTTGCCCCCCACGCCAGCCCTGGTCCTGGGAGGCAGCGGTGCAGGGTGGTGGGTGTCAGTGCTCCATCCCTGCTCACCCACGTGTGATGGAATAGTGAAAATTACAGCTCAGTTGATTTTGCTATCAAATCTAGCCTGCTTTCCTTTTCCCACCGAAGTTACCATCCCCTGCTGTTGATTTCCAGACTGCTCTCTTGCTTTAATTTCTCTGTCACTCCTGTCTATCTTTGCAGAGTAAGTATAACTCCTTCACGGGTTGGTTCTGTTAATTCCTTTCCCTATGGAGTCAGACTGTAAGTGGCTTAAACATTTCACCTGGGATGAACTTTCAGGAACTTTAAAGTTGGCAATGTCCAGAGCTGACTTAATAAAAAAAGAAAAAGAAAAAACCAAAAAACAACTCTCTTCACCTTGTGTTTCTCCATGTTTGTGTTTCTCCTGGTCTGAATTTTCCCCTTTGACATGGCATAAGGAGTTCCTCCCCACATAGAGCTCAGTCAATGCCCCTCAGTCATGAGATGCCACCCTTTCACATATTCTGGTCATATCAGCTAAGAAATTCCCACCACTTCCAGGCATGCCAAAGTCCTTCCATCCTGATCCACATTCCCAGGCTCACAGAGATCTGTTGGAGACCCTCTCTCCTGACCTATAGATTCCTATTTATTCCATCCCTGAACCACAATGTTCACCCTGGCTGCTCTCTCCCTTGACATCCCACTGTCTACTATTAAATCCAGGGCATACATGCTTGCACAAGCATGCACACACATACATCACCATGTGTCCTTCAGTTCTGACCAATGTTATTCTGTGCCAGTCTTGTCCCAAATAAAAATCCATGCCACTGCTTCTCAGTTCTGACCTACAGATCACCTGCTTCTCTGGGTAAAATCAGAACATTGGGACCTCCCTTCTCCCTTTAATTTCAATGCTATCAAGTTTTGCATAAGTGGTATCAAAATCTTGTTGAGGTTTTGACTCCACTCTGATTCTTGGAATCAGAAACCCAAGACACTTTCTTTCTCAGCTATACAACTGTAATCTCTTGCCACTACACCATGTTTCTCAGAATTTACGCATATACATACATAAACCTGTGTACTGAGAGATATCTCTAAATATAAGTTATGGAGATATAAATATATTCTCAACTCTACCTCACACACACAAATGCAAGATAGATCACTGGAGAGAAACGGACACTTCTTCTATTTCCATGAATATAGTATGATAGCATGGTCCAATGGACTAGGGATCAAGTGATCCATTTGGACTTGTTCTGCTATCTTGGACAATTAATTCTGGTCTTTTCTCTCCTACTCTTCACCCATGTGAGGTGAAGTAGCCCAACCCCTGAATGATCCTGCTGCAGAAGGGCAAGGGCCAGGGAGTGTCATTTGCTTGGCAGGACACTCCAAGATTTTGGGCAAGAAAGAGATATTTCTTATGCCAGCTTTACTACCACTTTCATTGAGGAATCCAGGGCTTTATTAAGCCAGGTGTTGTGCTTGCTGTTAGGAAGAGACAGTCCTGGGTTTTTTGCTGGCACCTAAAATGAATTTGGACAAATAAAGGCTCATTATTTTCCACAGCAGGGAATGAAGGATCAGTGAGTTAATGCTGAGATGTTTAGACTGCCTTAAGGACTTAGTTCCTGGAGTGTGGGAGATGGGCCACTGGTGGCCTATGAGGTCATAGCGAGTGGTCCACAGACACTGATTTCAGTTATGAAGTCTGATGATGAAGGTACATGGTTGAAAATTGTTCATGGGGCCAACATTTTGGGAACTGCAGGCCTAGGGAGTTAGAGCGGGTAATGAATGGGACAAGGGCCTCTCACCTCTTCCCAAACTCTCCTCCAAGGTGCAATGCCCAAAAGTTACAGACAAAGTCTAAAGAATAGCCCAAGTAATCAAATTGAATGTCTTGAGTCCTTGATATGTCTTGAGTTGTCCCGAGTCTTGAAATGTCTTGAGTTGATACCACAAATCTAGTTTACATGTACCCAGGCCAGAACAAGCTTCTTTATTAGACTAACAACAACAAAGATGTGCAACTTAAGGATAAAATTATCCACATCACATGTCTACATTTTGGGAGAGTGACATTCATACAGGAGCTTAATTTAAGATAACAGGTGCTCAACACTTTCTGAAAAATCACCCCTTCCACCATTGTGTCTTCATTTGAGCACTTGATCTCTTGTTCTCTTAGACAGTCTCAGATATTCACCAGCTCCTGGAAACTTTGAGCACTTGATCTCTTGTTCTCTTAGACAGGCTCAGATATTCACCAGCTCCTGGAAACCGGAAGCAGAGCCTTTAGACATACATGTGTCTTTATTTAAAATAATGATCACAATAAATTGAGCGAGGACTGTGCTACGTATCAAGAGAGCAGAGTGTGAAACCCATGCAGTTAAACTCTCTGGTGTAGTTTGTTTAATTCCTACTGAAGGCAAAAGAGTTATACTACCAATAGCAGTAAAACAAAAGCAGACTAAAACCAAGACATTTCTTAACATGAACACAAAAAAAAGGCACATGGGAGCTTCCTCCACAGGTAAGTGAGAGAGAGGGGATCATATATAGAAGATTTAGGCTCAAAACTTCACTGACAAGCGGTCATAATTTCTTGTGATGGGTGTATTATCAAGATATGGAGAGGCATGACTAGTTTGTGTTAGGCCTGAGGATGCTCTCCTGGGAAGCATTTGGATTCTCTATTCTACAGCAAATGGGATATGATTAGATTACATTAGATTAGATTTAAGTAGCCCATGCTAGAAAATACTTCCCTAAACTTGGATATTAACCTAGAATCATAGAAAATTAGGGTTGGAAGGGATTTAAGGAGGTCATCTAGTCCAATCCTAGCTCAAAGCAAGGACCATGTCCAACTATATCACCCAGCCAAGACTTTGTTTAGCCAGGTCTTAAAAAAACCTCCAAGGATGGATCTTTTACCACCTCTCTGGGCAACCTGTCCCAGTGCTTTACTACCCTCCTAGTGAGAAAGATTTTTCTAATTGCTAACTTAAACTTCCCTTAGTATAAATTGGACTAAACTAGGCTTGAAAACAAAAGGTAGACTTGAATAGCCTTTAATACTAAAAAATAAACTTGTCTGGCTTTCCAGAATAAAACACTGCAATTAGTTCATTTGTATGCTTTTGGTGAAGGAACAGGACTTCTTTTAGCTCTGTATTCGTACAGCATCCATTGAACAGCTGGGTATTTCTACACAGCACAATAAGCATGCTACCATAACACATCTTAATTTAAACTAGCAACACTCTGGACAAATATAGCATGGGACAGGTGGTGTGGCAAGCTTTAATGTGTACTGCAAATCTTTACAGGCCAAAGTGCATAACCTGGTTGCTAGTGTCTGGGTTTCAACGCTCCTGTTATCTGTTCTAGCTAGTATTATTTAGCGGGTACTACAAATCACACTGTCATTTTGCTTTGCTTACACTCCTTAGGATGAGGGCTTCCTGACATGACTAGTTTAAAGAAGTAGAGTAGCTTAGAGTACAGTAAACTGGAGCAAGATAGGATAAAAAGATTGTTATTTGAAATAAGGTTTGAAATTGGCCCAGGATTCCCTCAGGACCTCTTTCACCTTCTCGTTCCTCAGGCTGTATATGAAGGGGTTGAGCAGAGGGGTCACCACCGTGGTCAGCACAGCCGCCACCTTGTCAAAGTCCATGGAGTAGCTCTGCTCAGGACGAACATACATGAAGATGGAGCTGCCATAGGCAATGGTGATCACAGTGATGTGGGAGACACAGGTGGAAAAGGCCTTCTTTCTCCCAGTGGCAGAGGGGATGCTGACAATGGTGGAGATTATGTAGCTGTAGGAGACTGATGTGAGGATTAGGGAGCTGAGCACTACAACAGAGGAGGAGATGAAGGCCAGCATCTCAAAGAAGTGTGTGTTGGCACATGAGGCTTGGATCAGGGGAGCAATGTCACAAAAGAAGTGGTCCAGGACATTCACATTGCAGAATGGCAGTCGGGAGAGTTCAATGACTGGGGTGAGAACAGAAAAGAAAGCTCCAACCCAGCACCCCAGCATCATGAGCAAGCAGACCTTGTTGTTCATGATAGTAGTGTAGCGCAGAGGGTAGCAGATGGCTACATACCTGTCCACAGACATGACCGCCAGCAGCATGAACTCTACCGTCCCCAGCAGGAAATAGAGATAACACTGAGCGACACAGCCACCATACGAGATGGTCTTGCTATGCATCATGAAGTTTATAAGCATCTTAGGGGAGATGACTGAGGTGAACAGGATGTCCAAGAAGGACAGGTTGCTGAGGAAGAAGTACATGGGGGTCTGGAAGCGGTGGTCAGCCCATATAATGCTGATGATGGTGAGGTTCCCAGCCAGGGTCATTATGTAGGTGACCAGGAGGACAGCAAAGAGAAATACCTGGAGTTCCCAGACCCCAGTGAACCCCAGGAGGATGAATTCATCCACGGTGGTTTCATTTTCCTTTTTCCCTTCATGTTTTTCCTGCAGAAAGGATAAATGAATTCTCAGTTACTTGAGGCTCAATAAACACAACAGCAGAGGCCAATCCCACTATTAATGCATCACTCTGCATATATGCACCATTCCTTTAGCAGCATCTACCAAGCAGCTGGATAGCTGACTGCCTATGCCATTAAGGGCTAGCTGTTGACCCATACAGTATACCATCCCCTTACACTCTCTTTATACAGGAAGAAATCTCCCTGTGTTAATAATAGAAATACAATGCTATTTGAAATGAGGAAACCACTGCAACCTCACCTTATTTCCCCCACTTACATTGCACAATGAATAGATTCAGGTTTCTCCGTTTATCCACCCATCCATCTATTCCTCCATCCTCATTCACAGCCATCTATCTGTTCCCATTCAATGTTGATAGGCAAGCCTCTCTGGGTATATACAAATGTATACTTTAGTAGTTTTAAATGGGCCTCTTGAAGTTTTTGCAAAGGCAAATAGGAGAGCTAGGCACTGCAGTTGACTTTCAGAAGGTGCCCCACTAATTTCCATGCCTTTGGAAGTGGTTTTCCATTATGGGAAGTCTCCAGGAGAAAAGCCCTCTGGTTTATCCAAAGGCCTGTTACATCACAAAAGTATACAATACCCACTTTGGGCACACATGGCACTTTAAGACAGCACAGAACTAGCAGGGATATGGAGTCTTAGCTGTAAAGGACAAATCCATGCAAAGAGTAAGGCAGGCGCAGGGCAGAGAATAGCACTCAGGTGTACTGCCTGCCTTGCCTGCCTGCCTCCCTTCTCAGTATTAACCAACCTCACTCCCCTCCTGCAGTCTGGGACTAATCTAGGGCCAGCATCTTGCATTTGTTCAGGTATTCTCTTCTAGGAAATACAAGCACAGATCAATGCTAGGTTTAGGGATCTCAAAAAAAGAGAAGTAAGAAAAGTATACTTAACTACCAAGTGTTCATTTCCATAACGCTACTGCCAGTTTCTGTGATATCACACTTTCCCCCTTAGCTATTTCCTACCAGCAATGGACAAAGACAACTGATATACATCCCACCAAACAGAGCCATTCACAAATACTTACAGAAGCGATTTGCCACAGCTCGTTAGAGTCTTCAAGAGTAGTAAAATTCATAAGACCTGGTCAGGGTTACCTAACAACTGCCTGCAGTAGTGAATTGCCCCTTCCAGTCCTGTGTTCCTTTAGGTATTTCTTCATTTAAACAAAATGAACTCTCTTTGCTCCACTTCCATAACCTAAACTATTGAATAACTTAAACTCCTAAACTGTCTATGATTTGATAGCTTAATTACTCTTTGCATCAGTTCAAGGTGTGGGGAATGGAGGACCTCTGCAAAAGTATCCAATTAAAAGTTCCCACTAACCTACAGGTCACTGGATATTTATTATTTCCATAATATTTTATTTCTTCTGAAAATAGACCAAAGATCACAAATGTATTAAAAGCTGTGCATCCACCAGCGGCATCCAAAAACTAGGACAAGTTAGATGCTATTTTCTATATTCTAGAATAACTAACTGTCTGCAGAAGAGGATTTTGAAATGGGTGTATGTGCTACATGTTTCTATTTTCATAAGGAATATCAAAATCCTCTCTGCCCCTTCTAAAACCATGAAAATGAAAATAAGTTAAACTCTTTGTCTGTAAAATATCCTAATCCTTCGTTGAATGCAAATTGTGGTATTCACATCACACAAGCAGCAGTCACAGATGAACCCCCTAACCTGCTAAATATCACAAAGCAGGCAATTTTGAATAAGATGGAAGACAGGAGATTTCCAAATAGGCTCTCTCTCTCTGTCCTGTTTCTCTTTTCCTCAGATCTTTCAGACGTGTCTTCTTTTGTCTTCCAGTTGTATTTGATTTTAACAGACCACTCTGCTCAGCCCTGCAGACAACACTACGTTGTTGAATAATTCTGTTTTCAGCCCTACATCGCTTTTTATTTTTTTCCTTTTCCTTCTGGGAATAACCAGTGTTGTTGGCATTGCAACTTTTAATGACTTTGAGGCAAATGTCCAATGGGAATTTATTGGATATTAAAAAAGGGCCCATGTTAAATTATCTCTGCTGATAACAGAAAAGAAAAGATTAGGATTCCCTGTCCCACCCATCCTTTCCCCTGCAAAAGTTTATTATACTTTTTTGCTCTTTGCCCTACCAAACCAACAAAATGAAATCGCAAGGACATAGCAGAATCCTAATTGGCTATGCTATTAAAAACAGACAAACATATAGGATTCTCAACCATGTGCTCCCTTTTTCTGAACAACTGAAAGCAGTGAGCATCATTGCAAAGCTCAATAATAGATTTCTCTCCCTTTTTTACCCCACCATAGGTCTGTTTAAATTAAAAAAAAAAAACAGTTACTCAAGGAAAGTCTATTATCCATGTAATATAAGACATCCAATTATGTATGTAGCCACAATTGTGCCTTCTGATTTCATAACTGATGACTCCATAAAACTATGTTGCTAGGTCATCTTTTCCATAATATCAAGCCTATGAATAATTGGACTGAAGGAATAGATCCAGTTATCATAAACAGTCCACCTAAATCTAATGGTCATGAAAGAATACTCACCTGATATCAAATTATACAGCTCCAAGAGATTTCCCAAAGAAATGAAAATGTTTCCAAAAGAGTTAAAGAGAAAATTAGCAAGTTTTTTTTCTGTTTCATAACCAAAGCAACTTTTCTTTAATAAACTGGTAGTCTAAATGAGGACCATCATCTTCTTAGGAAAATAGTATGAAAAACTGATTTTGTCAATCAACTATATAAGAAATTCCACACATTAATATGCCATCATCTTCTTAGGAAAATAGTATGAAAAACTGATTTTGTCAATCAATTATATAAGAAATTCCACACATTAATAAAGACAGGGAGAGCATCAGTTGATCTAATCTGACATAGACCTGTTGAGATCAATGAAACCAGGAGAATTTTTACCAGTTCAAAATTTCCCTCTGCTATTTGGAAGATGCACATGGCTATCAGAAATTATTTAAACTAACTTCTCGCAAAACAAACCCTACAGAACTGCACACATGCCAGATAGGCATGTTTTCCCTGATAAAAAAATTGCAAATTCTCTGATAAAAGTCACAAAATCTGTGATTAAAATGAAAGCTCCCCCCCCTCCCTGACTCCCCTGGACCTGCTAGTACCCCTCACTCCCTACCCACACCCCCCTGACCCTGCTGGTGCCCCTTCACCCCCCACCCCCGGCTCCTGCGCCCACAGCCCTATTGGAGGGGGTTCCCAGTTGCTAGGGCTATGGGGCCAGGGTCCCAGTCCACAACCCCCTGCCCCTGGCAGGAGGTGGTGGCTGCTGGAGTGGAGCAAAGCCCGGCTCCCCGCTACTGCCTGCCTACTGCACACTTAGGCAGGGAGAAGGGACTGCTCCCTGCTCTGGTGTGCACTCCTGGGGAGCACAGGGGACATCTGTGTGTGAGGCGGGGCTGCACATTGCCTGCTACAGGTTCCCACCCTGCTATCCTCCCTGTGCAACCCACAGCTACAAAGAACAGTGGAGCCATGCAGCAAGCTGCTTGCCACTGCGAGCTCCAGCTTCCCTGGTGAAGGGTCTCTGCCTACGCAGCTACAGAGGGACCAGCAGCGTGGGGTTGCCCACAGGGGATGCAGGAATTGCAGAGCTCGCAGTGGCAGGAAGCCTCCTGCGCAGCTTCGCTGTTCCCTGAAGTGCCGGGTCACACACACACTGGGCTGCAGAGGCCTCAAGGGACGGCAGCAAGTGGGGAAGCATGAGCCTCAAGCAGGCAGTGGACAGCCCCTGCCCCATGCACAGATCTTGGGGGCATAGGTCCTCCCTGCCCCCTGGGAATGTGTGCAGTGGCAGGAAGCCAGCCTTGCCCCCCACCCCCTAAACAAGCCAGCCATGGCCCCATCCCACTACCCGCCATGACCCAGCGGCTGAACATTGTGGCCCCAAGCCCCAGGCACTGCCCAGCTGGGCAGCATTCCCAGCCCCAGCCATGCCCAACTCCCTCCCTCCTTCCCTATGGGGCCTCAACCCCCGCCCCCAAATTATGTGTGGGAGCTGCTTTCCAGGCTGACTGGGGCCAAGTGCATGTACATGCACATGATGCCTGCTGCCTGACCACCCTCCTCCTGCTCCCTCCCAGCTCCCTGCAAGCTGGAACTGTGCCCGCCTGCAGGGAGCTCATTGTAAAACTACAAAATCCAATGGTTTCTCCAGTAAAATGAGAAATCCACATTTGCCTTGGGGAAAAGGTAAAATCCACAGTTTACTCCATTTTACAAAGGAAACGGAAAACTGGGATTCCTGGTCATAACTGGCCAGCTAGAGACAGAAAGATTTCCTCCCATGTAGCAAAGAAGCCTGGAAACTGAATGCATGGGCAATATACAGGAACTGCATCATAGAAACATTGCTTTCATTCCATTTGGATCCCATTCATCAGAAACTCATTGCATCACTTTTACTTCCTTCCTCAGCTCCAAACTCCCACACACCAGTAGCTTTCTGAATAGCCCGTCTCAGTCGTAGGCAAATGAGAATGAGGATACACAGGGAGTATCTTGTCCAGTAAAACAAAAAGAAAAAGAAAAAAAAAATCTAGTCTTAGAAGCCAAAAATGGTTAATCTTACAGTGTCACCACTAAGTTAAGGTTGTTTTCAGGAAGGGTTTATGAGGAAGGCAGTGGCAGTGCAGGTAGAACAGAATTCGCTTGGGCTGAGACAAACATTTTATCTCATCTCCAAATTATCATGGAGAGATCAGGGAAGCCGACTGGATTAATAACTGTGTGTGAATGGGTGTAAGTGTGTGCTTATTTTCTCTCAGAACTGTATTAACAATCACACACTTCCCACACTAATATTTTATTTTTTGGTAGGGGTCATTCTCAAGTTGCATCAAGGGAAATTTAGGTAAGATATTAGGAAAAAAAAAAAACCTCTCATGAGGAGGATAGTCAAGAACAGGAACAAACTATCCAAAGGTGGTGGACTCTCCATCCTTGAAGATTTATAAGACCCAGCTAGACAAAGCCTTGGCTGGGATGATCTAGTTGGGGATGGTCATGCTTTGAGCAGGGGTTTGAACTGGATGACCTCCTGAGCATAGGCGATGCATAGGGGAGGAATGGGGAGGCACATGCTCCCCCTGACAGGGCCATCCCCGATACTCCACCAGTGTCTGCAGGTGCTCATGGGCTCCATCCCTGCCACCGCTGTTGGTGTCTGTGGGTGCTCACGAGCTCCATCCCCAGTGCTGCCAGCTTTGGCAGGTGCACCCCCAGACTCAGGATGCACCACTCGCCCATGCTCCTGAGGTCCCTTCCAATCCTAACTTCCTACAATTCTATGATTTTTCTCATAAGTTTCCAAAACCTACTTATCCACAAAGTGTCTTAACATTAATTTATATATAAACACACCCACCCACAGTGAGATGCAAAACAAGACAGAAATTACAATGTATTGTGAGACAGATTGTTGGAAGCATATAGAGCCAGGCATAGGATAGGGGGTGGTGTGTGTGTGTGGTGTGTGTGTGTGTGTGTGTGCACGCGTGTACAAACACAGAGACAGGCTGACATGTATGGAACAATTTCAAGGAGAAATTAATGTCTTTTGAAAAAAAAATACCACCATTCTTTTGAAAACGCCAAACCCATTTTGTTTTTTAAATAAGAAAAGGGTTTCTTTTATATATTGAAAAAAAAGAAACCCACCAAACACTTTACAAGTTCTTTAAAGGTAACTGGTCAGAGTGGAAGAAGACATTCATTTCCTCTAGTCCAGATAACTTCACCGTCTCACTTAGTTTTCCAGTGACATAGCCATGGCATGGAGAGGTCACTTCTTATTATTTCAGAGATCTATTTAGATATTTGCTTCTCAACCACCAAGAAAAGTGACTAAAAAAATGACACAGCCTGGGACCCAGTATGAAGATTATGCTACATGGAGTCAATTGAAACACGGAAGTCTATTTCCTATGCCCCCACTCGCACCCCCTTTTTAGGTAAATGCATTTTTAAATATTGAAAATATACACACAATTGCTTATCATAGGATTTTTTACAAAATATATTTGACAATAAAAAATTATGAAGCATTTGAACCAAGCAATGAAAATACCTTTAGAAAATGCATACCCCAAGAAAGCAGACATGTACGGTGACACGTTAAAATATTAGGTCAGTACAGTTTTTCCTAGGTTGCATTGGAAATAAGATTTTTTAAAGCATCTTAGCAATGCCAATGTCAGTAGGAGCTAAGAACCTAACCTCCTGGCTGCCCCTGGAGATATCATGCAAAGCTCACTCTTACAAGTCAAACTTTTGTTAAACAAATTCCAGAATAGTAGCCACCTCCAAATCCTTGCCTGGTGAGGATTGTTTTGAATCATTGCAAATTGTTGGAGCCCTGATAAGTTTAAAGCAGCAGAAAGCTCTGATCCTATTGCATTTGACTGGTGAGGGGAAGCAAGAAAACCCATTTGGGGTCTGATATTTATTTACAAAGTCACTGATGGCAAATATTGAGTCTCAACGATCTCCAGGGCTTTGCAGAGCCTGCAGGACCACACACTCATCTCCACATCATTGTAATACCGACCTGCAGCATTACTGTTGCTCAATTTCCATTCCAGCATAAACTCAGCAGTGCAAATCAGACTAAAGTCGAATTTTATACCATGCAACTGAGTGAACACGGTACTTAGACTCTGGTAGACCAACTTTGGATTCCCCCTGCAAGGTGCTGCCTGAAGCTGATTCTAATGGACCTAATCTTCATTGTCATCAGCACGAAGGAGAGTAGGACTGGGTGTGTAAACAGAAACAGAATTGCTCCCATTTCACATCAGTATTCATGGAAAGAAAATCAGCCCACAGGACTATAAAAGAATTACTCCTGGTATACATGCATGTCCAATAAGACAGAGGGGCCAGACTCTATTCCACTTATTAGGCTTCTAAGTAGACTTTTCCTAAGTGTGAATCTTCTGTCCACGTCCTGAAAATGTTAGTGCATCTACTTTTGTAGCATCCAGTCACCTGTGCAAGTCCCAAAAGCAGCAGCGAGGATGAGGACTTGCTCCTCTTTTCATTAACTAGTTTGCAGGGACTTGAGCAGAGTGGAGCAATTCACATTTGTGAATCTATGTCTGTTTAGCTAATAAGGTGGGGTAGAATCTGACTTTAGATACCTCACTTCTATAAAAAAAAAAACCCTTCAGCTGCCTCTTCTGATGCAAATCATCATGGGGGCAAATCCTTACTATTCTGTTGGTTCTAAAGATTTAAAATATAAACATAACCCAAATATATGTCATGCACCCGTGCTTATTGTCAGCCATGGGGGATCAGCCCCTTTGATTCCAGAGGAACCATGCTAGCCTACACCCAGTTGGGGATCTGGTTCCTTGACTTCACTACAGCAGTAGCACTTCACAGCAGGTGGGAATTGGCTCTTTTCAATACTGTAACTGAGTACTTCTTTGCACACAGCTCTTTTTTCAAGGCCTGTTTGACATCTTTGTTCCTCAGTGTGTAGATGAAAGGGTTGAGGAGGGGAGTTATGACTGTGTTCAACACAGACACCACTTTGTTCAGCTCCAAGGAGGAGTTCACTTTGGGCCTTACGTACATGAAGATGACGGTCCCATACAGGATGGAGACTACGGTAAGGTGGGACGTACAGGTGGAAAAGGCCCGCTGCCGTCCCTGAGTGGAAGGGATCCTCAGGATGGTGGAGATGATGAAGACATATGATATCAGAGTGAAGGTGAAGGAGCTCAGCAGGACCAAGGTGGCAACCACAAACACAATCCGTTCAATCAGGCGGGTATCAGCACATGCCAGAGTCAGCAAGGGTCCCACATCACAGTAAAAATGATTGATGAGGTTTGGGCCACAGAAAGGGAGCTGACATACCAGGATGGTCTGCACAAAGACTGTCAAAAAGCCCCCCAGCCAGGACCCCAGGGCTAAGCGGCAGCAGAGCCCACTGCTCATGATGGCAGTGTAATGCAACGGGTCACAGATGGCCAGGTACCGGTCAAAGGACATGGCAGCTAGCAGAAAAAACTCAGTGGCACCCAGGAAAAAGTGGAAAAAAGCTTGTGTTAAGCAGCATCGGAGGCAGATGGACCTTTTCTGGACCAGGAAGTTAGCCAGCATCTTTGGTGCCAGGGTGGTGATGTACCAGATCTCCAGGAAGGAGAGGTTCCCCAGGAAGAAATACATGGGGGTATGCAGACGGCCATCCCGGAGGATGATGACAATGATGAGGATGTTGCCAGTGATTGTGAGTACATACATGAAGAAAACCACTGTGAAGAGAGAAGTCTGCAGCACTGGGGATCCAGGAAAGCCTCGAAGGATAAACTCTGTCACCAAGGTCTGATTTACCACCTGCATTGGGGAATTTTACCCCTGGGCCTCTTCTTCTAGAAAAAGAGGAAAACACCCGCCAGGGGTCAGCTCTCATGCCTTCACGGGCTTTAATGGAACATGTAAGTCCATGCAACTCCCATCTCAATCCAACCCATACACACATATCTATTTAACCCCAAATATGCCATTTCCAATCCCCAAAGTATATCTATTTTCTTATAGATTATCTCCACCCAACCCACATTTCCCCCATATCTATCTAACCATCCCCACACACCCTATCAGTCCTACAATATACAGACTCTCTGCACCTAAGCCCCCATCTATCCCTCCATTCCTGTGCACACTGGATATCTCCACCCCAACCAACGTACAGTACATATAGTCTCACTCTTATCTATCTGTCTATCTCCACTGGTCAAGGACATTTAACAAAACACACTCTCTCCCTTCAGGCAGGATTTCCCAATTCATGCCCATCAACATATTTTGCAAAGCGGTTCATTTTCAGTTAAAATGTGATGAAGTACATGTACAATTGTGGCAGGGACAGGAACCTTTCCAGCAAGAAGTTGCACAGTTCCCAGACAGCCCACCTCTTGGGTTATGAACAGCCAAGTATATTGATCTTCTGGGTAGTTCATCTCTGATGTAAATGGCTTTGTTGCAGACTGGCCTTCCAGGTCAGCCAGGGTCTGCAGCTCTACATCCAGGCAGATTTCCCCTTATCACACACACCCTTATTCCTCTTATGTTATCTCTTGCATATTCTCTCCTAGCCATCTGCTTTCCTTCACATAGTAGCCACCCATCCTCCCTCACACCGCTATCCTGCTATTGTCTTTGTGAACACATACATATTGTCAGGGAAATAATGTACCACTTGGTAATATTGCAATATAATGCAGAACATTGTACTCACATTATGATCTTCATCAATGGAACAACGTCTTAAGAAAGCAGCATTTAGTTATTGGTCAAACCTATTAAAAAATACAAGTTTTTTTTTTTCCCAATAAAAAAAACCCAGCCTTAAAAATCAAACAAACAAACTGGAGAACATTTACAAGAACTATTTCACTGAAACAAAGGCACATTAAGGGCGTATCTGTATTTTGTAATGTGAAATTTGTGAAAATCCACTTTTGATAATGCACGAAGGATATAAAGCAAAGTTTTAAGTAAGAGCAAGTGGACACTGTAAAGAGAAGTAAACTTGTGAAAAATATACACTGCTTCAACAACTTTGATCCCAAGTACATACAATATATTGCTCATTTACTGGTATTATAAATAAATAATAATAATAATAATAATAATAATATTGTCATTATTATTATAATATTGTAATATTGCTCATATTGTCTGGTATTATAAAGGTAGTAAAATACAGCTCTCACCTCACGTCTGAAACTTAAGTCAAAGTAGTAGGTCAGGGTTTTTAGTATTCATAGACTACTTTGAAGACTTGAGGTCTTTGTACCTGATAATTATAGGCACATTTATGTGGCAGTTGATCAGCTTCCCTCCCCAGTTCAGAGATGTCTTGTGGGAAATTAAATTAAAATGAGAGTTTCCTCACAGGGGTTGATTTATGCACTGGTTCATTACCGCCGCAACTAAATCTGTGGGACTCTGTGTATGAGCATCCAACAGCTCTACTCCTTTGAAGGTGTTTTAACTGGACCTGTGTCATCATTAAAGTCTCTACAAGCTTTACAATTAGTATATTTTAAATGTATGACTACAGCTACTTGGAAATTCTCAATAAAACCTTTTTCCACCTTCAACACACATGCACACCATCTTGACTGGAATATGTGAAAGCATTGAAAGCAAAGCTCTCCACAGAAATACTTGGTGTGGTGATTTCTACAGAAGAGAGTCAGTAACACATTCATAGACTACTTTGAAGACTTGAGGTCTTTGAACCTGATATTTATAGGCACATTTATGTGGCAGTTGATCAGCTTCCCTCCCCAGTTCAGAGATGTCTTGTGGGAAATTAAATTAAAATGAGAGTTTCCTCACAGGGGTTGATTTATGCACTGGTTCATTACCGCCACAACTAAATCTGTGGGACTCTGTGTACGAGCATCCAACAGCTCTACTCCTTTGAAGGTGTTTTTAGTGGACCTGTGTCATCATTAAAGTCTCTACAAGCTTTATAACTAGTATCATTTAAATGTATGACTACAGCTACTTGGAAATTCTCAATAAAATCTTTTTCCACTGTCAACACACATGCACGCCATCTTGACTGGAATATGTGAAAGCATTGAAAGCAAAGCTCTCCACAGAAATACTTGGTGTGGTGATTTCTACAGAAGAGAGTCAGTAACAAGTGATGACCAAGTGACTCAGCCCAGGTCATCCAGCAGTGTTGGTTGCCATCTTTGGGTACATTGCCTTGCATCTGAAAGCTTGTCTAAAATATCTCCCAATCATGCACCTGGTCCAATACAGATATTGCCTACAAGAATCCTTTCCTCTAGCATATTTCCTGGGTCATCATAGCTAACCAACATCACTCCAATGTGATCGATGCGATCTTCTAAATTCGAGGCTGTTTCCTAAACTGAACGTGCATTTGAATCTCCACAGCTTCCCTGCGTCTGGTTTATTATTCAGCTATTTTTCTTCCCTCTCTCTGCAGTAAGAAAGTCGGAGTGACCTCTTCACCAGAGGACTGGAATAATAATCAACGTTAAGTGGACTCCAGATGGCACCAAAGGATCAGAAGAAAACACATATAGATGAAGTATTTCACAGCTGTGTTTCCTACTCTTGTTTCTCCTTCCCACCCTCCACATCAGAGAGAGAAAGCCCCATCAGCTTTGACCACATCCTCCTTCAGGGTTTCAGTCTTCTCACAAGAGGCAGACTGCTTTTAAAATCAATGGCTTTTGGCCCAAGATGAGACACTGCCCAATTTGTGTGGTAAATCCTGGGTAGCCCATAGCACCGCTAAATTCAACGTGTCCTTTTTACTTGTACTCTGACAGTCTTTGCTGGCTGCTACATTTTGAGAGCTACTTGAAAACTTGAGGTACCGTATTCAATCCCTGTAACAAAGAAGTCTATTTAGAAAGTATAAGCAACTGCTTTCATTCACAAAACTGGTGTGGATGTCTCCCTCCCTGCAAAAGCATAGATACGACTGAAGGCAGTGTGTTTCAGACCTGAAAGATTAAATAAGTAATATTTTCCCTCTGTTTCCCTCCCCACACTTCACAAGTTTTTTTTAGGTAAACTTTCCTTCCTTTTATCTGTCTGAACTCAAATTAAAAAAACAAAACAAAACAAAAAACCACACACATAAGAAAGTACTAAGACAGCGTTTGCAAGAGTGGTTGCCTAAAGTTTAAAACGCTCAGAGCTGTTTCTGAAAATGATCTAGCCGTGAAATTACTGATAGGATGAATGAGGACTTACTGTCCAATCTGACTAGGATGAAGTCCTTTCCTTTGGGCTGAGACTTTCCAAGGTGCTGTGGGTGCTAGGTCCCTCTTGCAATTGGAGGTGCGTTCTGGGTGTCTAAACCTCGTAGTAAAACTCAGCATCTAAAAACAGCATGAATAGTTTTAACCTCAGCACTTATATCCATAGACTGCAAGGCCAGAATGACCATTGTATTCACCTAGTCTGACCAACTATAAAAACAGCCCAGAAAATCCTACACAGCCATTCACAAAAATACCTAAAGAGTGTATGACAAAGAGATAGCAAAAATATGGGACAATGGGAGTGACAGGGTGATTTTATAGTCTCCCCAATGCAAATGCAAGTTCCTCTTTCCCCATTAAAAGCAGCCTGGAAAAGGCCTTTTCTTTTGCCTTTCCCCTCTGGCAATTTTGTGCCGTCATTTTGCATACCCTTCACCATGTGCTCCTTCCTTTTCATCTCCGTGCTGCTGAGCTGCTTTTGGGGTAAGTAGAGCACCATACAGTGGTTGCATGGTCCTCTTGCTTCCTCCTCCCATAATCTCCTGTTCCTTTCTGCTGAATTTTTAATAGTGCCTAAGTAGAAAAGAGATGGGGAGAAACAGCTAACGAGGCACAAAAGAAGAGCAGTTCAGGCAATTCAGTCCAGCTTCAGAGGTGTGAGTTCAAGCCTTGGTTATTCAAAGTTGTGGCTCAAAGGCAGCTGGAGGCATAACAGCTTTGTGTGCAGTTGGCTATAGAAGCTGGCATGTATTATTTGATGGGACCACTTTGACCTTGGTTAAACCTCTACTAGTATATATATCCAACTAGCTCACTATTCCTATCCATGAATCTTACTGCAGGACCTAGCAATTGTTGCTTTTCCTTCTGTCCCTTCAGGGACTGTATGCATCTCTGCCCTTTCAACATGCATCTTTCCACCTGCTATAATTTGTCTCCACCACTTCCTACTCAGCCATCTACTAACAAAGACTGTTATACCTTCAGCTGTCCAGAGCCAAGGGTCCCTGATCCAGCCACCGTCAGAAGTTAAACGGCCTGGGGAGACCCTGAAGCTTTCCTGCAAATACTCTGGCTCTGATTTTACCAAGTACTGGATGCAGTGGGTCCGGCAGCCCCACAGTCTGGGACTGAGCTGGATTGGGGAGGCTAACAAAGACACCACATCTACCAACGTTCGGCGGGCTTTTCAGGAGCGTGTTAAGATCACCAGGGACAATGCCAACAGCTTAATTCACTTGGAAGTGAGGAATCTGCAGCCTGAGGACAGTGCTGTGTATTACTGTGCTGCCCACAGTGACTGGAGGCTTGGACAAAACCCTGAGACCTAATGCATCCTGGCCCAGAACCAGCTTTAGAAACATGACTGTAATGCTGTTCCTTGTTGAGGTACCAGCCCAAACCAGGAGGCATTGAAGCCTATGTGGTCTCCCCAGTGACTTCAGCAGACATATCCTTAGGCCTTAAATCCATCACTCCCAAAGTCCCAGGATAGAAAGGATCATCTGACCAAACAGTCCAAACTCCTGACATACTCTGTGGTCTAAATTTAACCCCATGACCTTCACAGATAGTCAGCTACCTTGGTTTGACTCCAATTATCCAGTCCCAGTGTGAAAACAGCAAGAGTTGGAAAACCCACCACTCTCCTGAGAACTTTGTTCCAGCGTTTCCTTGCTCCCCTGTTAAAATAAAGTATACCTTATTTTTAACATGAATTTACCTGTCTTTTTAAAACAAAAATTACTTTTGTTCTACCTTTCATTGCTACAAAGAGCCCTTTGCTTTCCAGTACTTTCTCCCTATGAACACCTTTAGTCTTCCACTGCTCCTGGCACCAAAAAAGGTAAAGGAGGGGGAGACGCAAGAAGTGGCATCTAATCTAGGCTTTGATGCTAACTGCTATGTAATTTAAGGCCTGTCACCTAACTGCTGGATTTTCCCTGTCTTGACTATTTAGATGAGCTCTTTGGACTAGAAAATATATTTATTCAGATGGTAGGGGTGACTTCTGGGCATGGCCGTAAGTCCCATGTTATTCATGTTATAGGTATTCATGAGAGGAAGTTGCTATAGTCTGCTGGTGCAATTACTATACTTTCCTCACATACCACACAAACCTTTTATAGCCCTCCAAAATTGAGGTGAGTCATAAGTGGGGAAGTTGATTTGTTTTTGCTGGATAAACAGAGACATCGCTGCACGATGGCTGCCATACATTTCCTTCCAAGGGGCAGAGTTTATGCTTCAGGGGCAAAGCTAATATTAATCCTCACAGAGCCACAGCTGCTGCAGTCTGCTCCCCCGAATTCAGCTACAACTAGAAACGTCTTTTTCCCCTTCATTCTGCCTTCCCCAAACAAGGTGCGTATCTTACTAGGAGGTATGTGATATGCAGTTAAATATGGTAAATAAATGCATTTATTCTCTGCATCTCTTTCTATTGATACCTTGCTACATATTCCTAGATAAAATGCAAGCAGGTCTTCTGACAGACTGTGTCTATTGTGGCTCCGTTTGATTTTAAATGGGGTTTTCACTTTTAGTTCATTAAATGTGATGTTTAGTATTATGTAATGTAGTCTCAGAGGCAAATCAGTTGAACTCCATCCCTCAGTTTCCCCAACCCCAGTGGGAAGGGACTGTGGGAGGGATATTAGCTTATATTGGCAGTACTGGACCAAAAAATAAATAACTCAGTTTTGTAGTGGATATAAGCACAATGATACCGCTGCTGCCCTGAGAAGCTTGATCTACATAGGCTTCCTAGATGGTGCCCTTCATCATGGTATCTTAGAAGCATTTAACATCTTCATGATTACATCATGATTACATCATACTTGTGAATTCAGGGAGGGTGATAATCCCCACTGTACACAGAGGAAACAGAAGGATCAAGCTGTTATGTGACATGCTTAAACCTAAACAGGAAGCCTATGGAAGAACCAGTCTTTCAAGTACTGGGGTTGTGCCCTTACCGCTGAACCATCCACCCTCTCCAAGAGTGAAGCTCATGCTTTCCAGAGAACAGCAAACCCTGCAGCACCGATGTGCTGTGGCTTTTGAGATGACTACAGTATCCATATGCAAATAGTGTAGGACAAAGGCAGGCAATTATTTTGGGTGGAGGGCCGCTTACTGAATTTTGGCAAGCCATCAAGGGCTGCATGACAGGCAGCCAGGGGCAGCTAAATATTAATTTTCTAAATTTTTTAGGGGCCTCACGAGCCAAATAAAATGGCCTGGTGGGCTGCATCGGGCCCTCGGGCCGTATTTTGCCCACCCCTGGTCTAGGAAGACATTCACTTTTGATTTGGGAAATTCAGCCATGTCTGCAGTGGCTCAAGCCAGAAGCCAGGGGGTGCTACAGCACAGGTCTCTGGCACATAGGCAGCATGGGATGTGTGCTTGCTTCCTCCTCCTGCTGCCCGCAAGGCCTGTGGGATTGGCAGTCCACAGTCATTGCAGCAGGACTCTGCAGGGTTTCTCATTACTTCTTCTTCCTGCTTCCAGGTGGCTCTGGGATTTGCACTCCACAGTCATAGCCAGCACTAAGTAAGCAGGGCAGGGCAGCTCTGTATTTGAGGGAAGGGACATTTAACCCCCATCCCTGGCCCCAGACCCCAGCAGGCATTTGCCAGGGGTGAGCAGTGGGCCAGTCAGTGAGGCCAGCAAGCCAGCCCTCACTGCTCCAGCTAGGGAGCAAAGGGCAGGGCCAGCCCTGCTCTCTACAGCACAGCCCAGCCCAGTGCTGCAAAATGCTGGGATGCTGGGAGACCCTGATTTAACTTGAACTAGGAAGGGGTCTGGGGCAGAAGTTTAATAAACCGGTTTGACCCAAATGAGTTAATTTTGATGTTATATTCAATCAGGTTTATGTTAAACCAGTTTCAGGCATTTTGAAAATGGTTTCTGTGCACTGAACTTCTAGGCTAGGGATAGAAGTTACACATAAACTGGTTTAAGTGATGAGAAACGGGTTTAAACCTGTAACAGAACAGAAGCTCAGTGCACATAAAGCGGTTTGAAAATGCCTGAAACTGGTTTAACATAAACCTGGTTGAATGTCGGATCAGCTCTGACACACGGATAACTTCCACATCACACAGCCTAGCGCTCCCCGGCAGCTTCTTCACACACCACAGGAGCCCTGAGACCCCTCAGAGGCTGCAGCCAGAGCAGCGTAGGGCTGGGCTAGGCCTCACCTGCACCATGTCTGCGTTCTCACAAACTGCAATATGAACTGGTTTTCCAGGTAGCAGGGAAAGGGCTGGAACTGGTGGCAGCTGTAAGGAGTGTGTGGGGGGCCCGTATTACAACAATGCTCCAAGGAGCCTTCTCGGATTAAGTGGAGACACCTCCTGAGGCCAAACACACCTGTGACTGAATAGGTCACAGGTGAATAGCCTGAATAGCCTGGACTGTGGAGACAAAGCCAAATTCAGGGAAGCCCATGACAGCTGGCTCACAAAGCAACTCTGCAGGATGCTGCCTTTACACAAACGCCCTGCCCAGTGCAGGCAGGAGTCCAATGCTTTCAGCTCTTATCCTCCCAAGGGAACTCGCATGCAAATCCCTGCCCGGGGCTCCTGGGTAAATGTCCCAGAGCCTCAGTCCCTGCCCAGTCCTGTTTGGCCCCTTTCTGTCTGACTCACCCCATAGCGGGATGGCTGCTCTCCTGCTCTTCCTCCCGCTGCTCCTTGCTCCCACAGGTCAGTTCTTGGAGCAGATGGGGAATGATGTGGGGCCACACCCCAGGCGCAGCAGGTAGCTCATTCTGTTTTGGTCTTGTCTTTTGTCTCCCAGGTGCCTTCGCAGAGGTGACACTACTCCAGTCTGGCACAGATGTGGTGCGGCCTGGGGAGACCCTCACCCTGCAATGCACTGTCTCTGGTGTGTCCCTGACTGACAACAGCTATGTTTGGTTCTGGGCCCGGCTGGGACCTGGGAAGGGGCTAAATGAGATTGAATGGATTGGAGCATATTCACCGGCGGTGGGAAAAGCACTCCCCGACCCATTGTTCGAGAACCGAACTAAGATCTCTGCAGACGCCTCCCAGAACCAGCTCTCCCTGCAGATGCACTCCCTGACAGCTGCAGACACCGCCACGTATTACTGTGCCAGAGCCAGCACACAGTGATACAGAGCAGCGCAGGGGCTGTGCAAAAAGGGGAAGCTCTTTCCAAACTGCCCAGCTTTCCAGCTCCTGCTGCCTTGGCCCTCAGGTCAGGTGTGTGGTACACAGCTACGTCTCATCTGCTCACTTGCTGCTCCACGTCTCAGACAGGGGTCCCCAGTTGTCCATCATTGCACCCTCCTCCACTGATGTGCATCAGAAGAGGAAACCCTAGATGAGATGCATGATGGACCCATTAAGGGCAGTGCTTCAGGGTCAACCATGGGCCAGTCCTGCCTGAGCAGCTCCCAACACATGCATTTCTGGATCCATGGACGGTGGAAAAGCCTTGCCTATCAATGGCTCAAGGCATCAGGAGCTCTGGGGCCCCACCTCCCAGGCCTTCTGCTGTATGGACACCAGGGCAGTGTTCATGCTCGGGGAAGCTGGGTGTCTGGCAATCACCTAGGCCACTGAAACCAGGCTCCTGAACCCCCGTGACACACTAGGTTCTGTCCACTTTCACAGGATCCTCGTCTCACCAAACCCCATATCCATGCTCAGACTTCTCCACAGGGATAGCTGGGGTCTCATCACAGCTCCTAACCTGGGACTCCCTATGCTTGACCAGTGCTTATGAAGGGTTGAGGCCCCCCTGTATCCCTAAGGCTCTGGGGAGCTTTTCACCAGGAAGAAGCTGTGAGGCCCTTGGAGAAGGCATCATTCCTGGACACCCAGTCCAGAGGCAGCAAGACAACAGGCCTTGCAGGGATGGAGACCCCAGCATGGAGCCAGCACTCAGGTGACTGCAGACAGAGCCTGCTCTGAGTGCAGGCTCCTGGGGGGCAGCAGCTGACCCATCCCTCCCGCCGAGGGTGATCAGGACCCAGTGCTGGGAGCTGCACAGGGAGGAGCACATGGACTCTGCCCTGCTGAGGCACATGTCAGCAAGGGAAGGGGGACCAAAGAAACTTTGTCTGGTCACATGAGAAATGTGCACTTATTGGAGACCATTTCCTTGAGGTCTGAGGGGCAGGAGGGGCCTCCACCGGCCATCCCCCCAGTACCTAGATACAGTCAAGTGCAGAAATGGCCCAAATGCCTTGGGAAGCCCCATTCCCCACAAACATATGCATTGGGGCCCCTCCTCAACCCTGATCATCACGACATTTCCTGTAGTGCTGACCCCCGGGAAAAGACAGCAGTGCAGGGAAAGGGGCCAGGGAGAAGGAGTCAGGGGCTCTAAGGAGGGTTGTTCTGTGTGCCTGCTGCAGCAGCTCCAGGGACACAAAACAGGTGCAGCAGCCCCTGCCCAGCAGCTCCCTGTGCCCATCTGCCTGTCTGTGCCCAGACTGCACCTGAAAGGATCTGGGTCCAGGGACTCACTGCACAACTTCCTCGTGTCACCAGGGAAGGGAGACGTGGCCCCACCTGGTTTTCATTGCACCAGTTTTGGAAGATGCTGCTGCCCTGGTCTGGTCAGTCTCAGGCCATGGGATGAGGATCTTTCTCTTAATACATTTTCTAGACAGGTCTTTTTTTCTCCCCAGGATCCCATGTATAATCCCAGGCTCCCCTGGTGGTGTCTAGAGGGGATGGGAAGAAGCCACAGACTTTTCTCAGCCCTTTTGCCAAAACTCTGGGTTCATCTTCAGCTCCCATTCACTTTCACTACAGGGACACCCGATACAGACTTCTTCTCTATGCCTGAACCTGCCCTAAGCCAGCGCTTCGATCTGGACATGCTGCTTTGGATGCTGAAGTGAAGCTTCTTCGGATCTGAAGCATGGGCCAAAGCCTCGCACAGCCCTAGTAAACACCCGTCTCCCCATGAAGCACAAGCTGAGCTCCTGTCTGCCATGATACAAAGGGGATCCTCATCCCTCAGCAGACAGCACAGTGCCTTGAAGGCTCCCAGCTTGGCACCTCTTATACTCACAGCAGGAACCCGCATGCAAATCTCTACCCAGGGGCTCCTATATAAATAAAGCCCCTGGACCCCAGAGCCGCAGTCACTGCCCAGCCCCTTTCTGCCCCCTCCTGCATGCTGGGAAACTTTCTGTCTTGTAGGACAAGAGAAATGGGATCCTTATGGCTCTTCCTTTGTTTCCTCTCTGCCCTCCAAAGTGAGTGTCCATGTTGGGGGCTGAAGTGGGGAATAGGTGCACATCCAGTAAAGTATTGGCTGACTTGGTTTCCCTCTTCTCAGATGTCCTGGCTGAGGTGCAGCTTGTCCAGTCTGGGCCTGGGGTGGTGAAGCCTGGAGAGACCCTCACCCTGACCTGTGCTGGCTCCGGAGTTGCGATCACTACTCGCTATAACTACTGGCACTGGATCCGGCAGCCTCCTGGGAAAGGGCTGGAGTGGATGGGACGGATCTATCCCTATAACACTGGAGAAAATAAGTACAACCCATCACTCCAGAGCCGAACCACCATCTCTGCAGACAACTCCAAGAACCAGTTCTCCCTGCAGCTGCACTCCCTGGCAGCTGCAGACACTGCCATGTATTACTGTGCCAGAGACACAGTGACACAGAGCAGGGCAGGGGCTGCACAAAAAAGCAAAACTCTTCTTACACACGTCTCAGCCCTCTTTAGAGCAAAATATTCATTAGATCCTGAAAGGAATATTGTCCTTAGAGGAGAAAGAGAGATCCCAGAGGAATCGGGAGGGAAAAGTCCCTTCTATGCCCAACTCTGCTCTTACAGTCCCAGGTTTGAACAGGCAGGAGAGGAGAGAGAGGCAGTAGTGGATTTTCAAAAGCATCTTCACAATTTAGCTGCTTCAAATGAATAGAAATGAAATCAAGTTGGCACTTACCCCAGCCACCTCAATTTAAAGCCCAACTATGAGTAAGACCTTGACACTCCTGCAAATACCAGCCTTCCCATAAACTAATGGTGATCAGGAGCTAAGGCATCTCATTTCCCACAGACCACTGCACCAGGCATTGGCCCAGACACACCAAGGCAGCTGCCAGCTCCAGCCAGAATGACCCTTGCATTGTGGAGAGCATGGGACACCCACTGCACCCCTGACACCTACCTGTGCCCAGCACAGATACCCTATTAGAGACAGAGCCCAGATGCACCCTACAGTGAGTGACCAATTGTAATACAGAGAGTAGCCTGACCCTGGATAGCCCTTGCTCCCAGCCTTCTCCCTGGCAGGCAGCAGCCCCTTCCCTCAGATACTCCCTATATCTTCCCATCGAAGAGACAACTTTGACCTCACTGGGTGCTGGGACTCCAACAAGTTGAGGAGGAGGAGGTGAAACCCTCTCATCCACCAGACACCAGCCAGTGCCAGGGCTTCGAGTCCCTGAGGAGTTACAGCTGTAGGTGATTACAAGCTTAGGGGCGTGCTAGGACCCAAGATAGCCTGCTGTCCTCCTCCCCACTTCTCCTGCAGGGAAGGCTATGCCCTATGAGCACATCTTTATAAGCTCAGTGCAGCTTTTACCTTGACAGTATGAAAAGGGTGCCTGTCCTAGAGGTGATACCACTCTGCACTGACTGGTCCCAGCCTGGCAGCTCTTAAATCCAGCTCAGGATCCCATATACTCACTTCTTCCATGAGGGCTTCTGGGTGAATACAGCCCCAGAGTCCCAGACCCTCAGTTCCTGCCCAGTCCCAGCCCTGCCAAATCCTTTTTGGTAGGAAGTCTCCAGCACTCACTGGGAAGGAGAAAGAAAACTTTTTTTAGTTCTCCTTTCCCTGCTGTCTCCTCCCAGCTGAGAGTCCAAGGGAGAGAGAGGAGAGAAACAAGGAGCCCATGGGGGTCAGGTGCCTGGATCTATTGTGCTGCAGATTATTTCCTTGGATGGTTTACTGACCCCAGGTGCCCACTCTGCAATGGCACTGGTCCAGCTGGAGTCAGGGATGGTGAAGCCAGGAGAGACCTGTGCTGTCACTGATTCTTCCATCTCCAAATGGTACTATTGCAACTGAATCAAGCAGACTCCTGAGAGAAAGGGCTGGAGTAGTTGACACAGATACTTTCAGACACTGGGACCATCTCCGCTCCACCTCATTTCCCCAGAGCTGAACCTCCGTGTCCAGGGACACCTCCCTGGAGCTGTGCTCCCAGCTGTGCACCCATTCCAGCCTTCTGCCCTGCACCAAATCCCTTCTCAGCAGCAGCCAAGGGCAGGAGCTGAAGTCAGCCAAGGCCCTGACCACCAGAGCCCTTCCTGCCCCTGCAGCACTGCTCAGCTCCCACTCTGGGGAGAGTTTTCCAAGCTCAGGCCCTTCACCTTCTTGAAAAAGGCGGGGAGGGAACAGTCCCCTGGAGCCAGCACCATGAATCTAGACACTGACCCCAGGGAACCATGCACCAATCATTGAGTCTGACCCCATGGCCATATACATGACATGGGCACTGTACTGATGGCTGCAGCACCAGCGCAGACATACCAAGGCAGCTACCAGCTACAGCTAGGCCCTCAGAGCTCCCACAGATCCACAGGGGAGATCATGAGACACCCATTGCACCCTCTACACTTGTCTGCACCCAGCACAGACACCTCAGCCGATACCAAGGTCAGCTGGGAACCAGCCACAACACCCTGCACCGACCAATTGCCACACAGACAGAACCCTTTGCCTCCCCGAATGCACCCCACCTCTGTTACCCCCACCCCCCTTCTGCAGCTATGAGAACAAGGGGCAGCAACACTCATAGCCTGTGCTTGGAGAAGGTCCAACAGAAAGAAACTTATCCAACCCACAAAGTTATTTTCCAGACTGCAGAAAGGGCCCTTTGTGCCAGAAACTTGTCTACCACGTCTCCCAACTGAACTTGTGGTTCAAAGAACATCCCACAACAAAGCAAATCCTTGCCTCATACTTTTCCTAGACCATCATGGCTACAAGTCTCCAACCTTGCTTCTGCTCAAAAGAAACCCACTAAACACCTGCATTAGACAGAACTGCCCTACATATGAGGCAGGCATTGGATCTTACGAGCTTGTCTGAAAACACTTTGAAATATGGAGTTGGTTCAATTTAAGTTATCACCA